TCAGCGACAGCCTTTAATTATACAAGAAATTTGTTGCGGACAAGTATTGAGAATAGACTTTACTCAGCTGTTTATAATAGCCTGGAGCCAGTCGCGACGTTTTATGTGTCGTTATACATTTTACATGAGACTCTTATTACTGGTAAAAATGCAATTGCGCAGAAACTAATTCTACAATGTAGTTCCACAAATTTACCATAATCTTTTCTGCTGCCAACAGACAATCTTTTTCAGTTAAACTGCAAGAACTTGGGATTGTGTCTTAAGGTTTACTGAAGCATCTCCATGTAATATTTGTTTCTCGTTAACTGAAATGACATTTTGTCTCATTTTTGTTTTCCTGCAAAAGAATTTGTAAAAAAAATTCTTTCTGTTGTTTGTTTCCTTGGAAATCAGAACAGTTGACAGATTAACTTATCTTACCATTATTATTGAAAATTAATACATTGTCTTTTGAACTTTGTGAAGTTTTCCTGCCAAAATTTGATGCAACATTTTTATTTTGCGCCAAATAAACAGAATTTGTCATCGTTTTGATTAGAATTTTTGAAAAAAAGATGGAAACAAAAAGAATACAGATTTATTTTGTGGAGGACAACTTTGGCCTTCAAAGGGTAAATGTAAAATGATTTAAAATTATTATTTCATTTCATGAGTATAATTTATTATCAAATAATTTAAAAACTATCCGCTATCTGAGAAATGATCACTCTAATTTAGTGTAGATTTGTGAGAAAGCTGTGTTTGACTACACATACTTGAGACTTAATTTAAGTAGTATACCTGCATGTATGAGATTCAGTTACACATTGATGTGTGTGTGTGTGCAAAGGGAAATATCATAAATCTTTTACACAGCTAGCCTCATACATTAGATCACATAGTAGGAAACTGACAAACCTATATAGTACCTTGAATTACGTCAATAGTTGTGTTCTCAGTGGCGAACTCGCTCCGGATCGAAACCGAGTTAATCTTCGATGTTTGTATAGGGATTAAAAAAGATGCGTTCATACCAGGACTGGACCCGGTTGGCAGATTTTGACACATGCCGAGGTGTAGCTCCATCTTGATCCGGATCGAGTTCGCCAGTCGGAACGCAGCCGTTAAAGGGGCACTTCCATTCTCACAACAAATTTACGTTATGGATTAAAATTACAATGGATAACAAAAGATAGATTAACATTGTAAACAACATAAACCATAGTGTCCCATGATTCTTTGGTGCAATCCCTGGGCTTGGAAGGTTCCTCTTTAAATTTCCGTCTTTGAAACAAATGATTTAGCATACTACCAAGAGGTATGTATACACTGCATAGTTCTGTTGGATAATCTAAACTGTTATAGTTTTTGCTGACTGAAAAATTAACAATATGATAAATGGAGGATGTTCAGGAAGAATATATATTCTTGGAAAATGTTTTAACATTTCTTTTGTAAGCAATTCACACTTCATCTCATCCATTGATATACTTAATGTACATACTCCGAGTGGCTTTCATTTATTTTTATCTTTTCATGTAAATAAAAATTGAGTATCGTTGCCATCAACTTATTCTTTATAGTATTTAAGTTACATATTTAGGTTTATTACTCGGCATAATTTAGATATGTGTCAGTTTTGAAAGCAAGCTAGGATAGTTTTAAACCAGATAAAAACTGTACTCATACAGCACTGTTGGTAGTGTACCGGTATGCAGTATTTTCTAGTCTACAATCATAATAAGTCATATTATTATACATCTGTTACCGTAACGCCATAAGTTACAGCGTGCCATAATTTTGCGGTATTTTACGGGGTATTTTCATACTACCATATTAGGAAATGCGAATTCCAAATATGATTACAATAATAATAAAAACAAACATGGCTGCTGTCAGAGTTCGACCGGACTCCACAGAAGTTTGCTGATTCTGTTCTAAACATTTTGAATTTCGGCATTCCCATGCTGTATCCTTAGAAAAAAAGACATATAATAATAAGGTTATTACGAGAATACCATTAGTGCACATTAACTAAACACTATTTATTGTATATCATTATAATATGAG